AAAAGGGGGGGGGGGGAAGGAAGAGAGAGAGAGAGAGAAGGATCCACCTATTTGGCAATGAGACATCCTCGAGCAGCCAATGGCTGTGTCCAAGGGGAGGAGGGAACCGGGCGAGCCGGGAGGGTGGGGAGAGCCCCCGGCAGTTGGAGACCAAAAACAATTTGCCCAATCGACAAGTTCACGTCTAATGAACAAGCAAAGTCCAGCAGTTATGAATTTTTCATTCCAGGCTCCCACTCGGGTCCATTTGGCAGCAGCCAGCCAGCAAATTTGGAGGGGGGGGGCGTGTAGAGCTGGGGGGACTAGGATTGAGGAAGACACAGATTTTTTTTTAAGCCAGAAAAAGAAATAAATAAAGGCCTGGCTCGGGCGGGCGCCCCAGAAGGCCTTGGGGAGAGCAGCTGCGCCTTCTCTGTGTTTTGGTTTCAGTCTCTTTCTCTCAGGCCCTCACACTCTCTCTCTGGTTCTATTTCTTTTTTTATTTATGGAGCGCACAGGGGCGAGTGGAAGTTTTCCTCCCTGGCCATACACACGAGCCTGCGATGCTATGAATAGAAAGAGAAGAAAGAGAGCTCGGAAAGTGTCGATGCCAGCAGCACTTCCAGGGCAGGGACCTGGCGCCCAGGGTGCGGCCACCCCTTCCTCCCCAGGCCCGGCTGCCGCTGGCAGGAGCACTCCCAGACGAGGCGCACCCCCACCCCCAGGCCCCCAGCGAGCTCGACCGCCTCCCTCAGCCCACACCCAGCCACGCACGCTCCATTAGCGGTGACGAGGGATGCCAACGCAATGCAGCTCGGCTCGAGAAACTGCAACAGTTTATTAAAATAGCCTCCTGTCACAGCACTCCGCTGACAAGCACTACATGCAGCCACAAACACAACAGCCAATCCCAGGGAGAAGTGACAAAGGCAGGAAGATGGACACTACTTCCGAACAGTCACTGAGTCTTACGAGGCCTCCCCCCAACCCCCAGACACTTCATTCTTTGCTTTCTCCAGCTTTGCCCTCTCCACTTGATCTGTGTTTAAGTGTTTCTTGGTCGGAGGAGGGACAACACTCACCTACCCCCCAATTCAATTCAGACTAAAGGGCCCGAACCCCTACGGAGGAGCAAGGTGCAAGAGCATACAAAAAGAAACCGATATAAAAGGGAGAAATCAAAGACAGGAGACAACAAAACGGAAAGGAAAGGGCTCTAGCAGGAAAAGAGGGACAACTTTGGGGAAACCGAGTCATAGGGAAGCGGCCTCCCTCCCAGCCAGGTGGGAGGGTGAGCTCAGGAGGGGGAGGCCTGGGGGGAGTGCCATCCCCATGGGTTCTCTCTGCAAGAGGCTTACTGAGCAGCCTGCCTTAGGCCTTGGAGAAGCTGTAAGGAGGAGACAGTTATTAAAAGAAGGGCAGAGACCTCAAACAGACAGGGAGAGGCTGATCCCGCTCGGAACTGTCCCTACATCTGCCCTCTCCCCAGGCGAGGCTCAGCCCTCAGCTGGCATGGGGGGGGGGGGAAGGTCACTGCTCACTCGTGCCCCTTTCTTCCCCGTCTGAAACCCTGTGCTCAGTGGCCTTCATGCTGGCAGAAGAGTTCCCAGAAGAGTGCCTGGGGTGTGCCAGGACAAAACATGCAGTCCTGGGCTGGCGCTGAAGCCTGACAATGGGAAGGTGCCGGCCAGCACCTGGGACCCCAGCCCAGGTCCTGAGTGGTCTGAAGTGAGCTCACAGCTGACCCCCAGGAGAAACAGAGGTGAGCAAGCAGGAGGCAGGTGTCATTGCAGACAGGCCTCTTAGAGTAGCGTTCAATAATTAACATCATGTTAATAACCAGCTTCAGTCCAATTAGCCAAAGATGTTAACTGAGTGACATAAGATACCAAACCCTGCCTCTCCACCTTGAGAGAAGCAATCTTACTTTCTAGAGTCAAGAGGAGATGGTAAAAACCAGAAGTGAGTTTATATTTGGCACATGGGTGTTTTTCTGGCAGTTTGATTTATACTAAATATTAGACACCGAACAGAAAATGGCCAACATGGGCCTCCTGGAGAATTCTGGCATATTCCGTCTCACAGACCACAGTGCCGGGTGGAAGAGTTGCGCTAAACATGGGTTGATTCCGAAACCGGTTGGTGCAACCGGGTAGGTGGTGGGGAGATGGCGGGTGAGAGGATCCACGTGGAAGTCCAGGGAACGGGACAAGATCCGTGGTTCACTGCAGGATGGAGGGAGGGGTCAAAGGTCGAGGGAGGGGCAGAGAGATTGGACATAGAAGTGGCCCGGGAGGGCCGGTGGAGTTTCTCAATAGAGCCTCAGGGATCCACACAGAGCCCAGTGCGCCCCCTCAATGCTCCCTTAACGGGAGGAGCAACAGGCCCTTCCCAGGAGAGTAACACGGAACAAGAACAATCGTCAATTGTCCTTCTCCTGCCAGTTGTTGTAACCTTGAAGGTGGGCAGAAATGGATTCCCAGGGAGCACTCTCCCCTCACCCTGTTCCCACAGGGGCCGCTGTCTGGGGTGTGTGGGGGAGTTTTCTGGAAGAGCGGCCTGAGGCCCGGGTATTCCTAAGGCTTGGAGAGGGCGGGGAGAAGGTCTCTCTCTTCTGTGGGCACACACAGAAAGGAATCACTCAGGTTCCATTAGAAACACTTGGTGGGGGCTGCCTGGGTGGCTCAGTCGTTAAGCATCTGCCTTCGGCTCAGGTCATGATCCCAGGGTCCTGGGATCGAGCCCACACTGGGCTGCTCGGTGGCGGCTGGAGGAGGCCAGCTTCTCCCTCTCCCACTCCCCCTGCTTGTGTTCCCTCTCTCGCTGTGTCTCTGTCTGCCAAATAAATAAATAAAATCTTAAAAAAAAAAAAAAACCAAAAACAACACTTGGTGTGCCCCCACCGCTGTAGCCTCCTCCTCCTCCATGCCACTGGTGGTGGCTCTAGGCCCTGGACACGCCCCTCAGGAGCCCCAGACAAAAGGGGACTGTCCCCCTTTTGTTAAAGAGAGTGGAGGCTCTGTTGGAAGATTACCTGTCCCAGACCCAGCCTCCTTCCCTTCTCCCCT